CACAAATCTGGTTACGCACGCACAAATCTTTTTACGCACACACAAATATTATTGAAACAATAATAGCTCCATAGATTTACCCTGATTGATGGGGAGTGTGGATGTGTCTCCTAGAAGACAGAGGGATGGGGACATTGGGATGTTGCAGCCAAGTGAAGTGGTGAGTGATTGAGTGACGGCTTTCCAGAATGCTTGGACCGGAGTGCAGTGCCAAAGAGCGTGAATGTAATTGTCCCTACAACCCTGTGTGCAGTGTGGGCAGATGTCTGAAGTGGATCCCATTTTTGATCATTTGTACCCGGTGTAGTGATATCTGTGTAGGATTTTGAATTGTATGAGTTGGAGGTTGGAGTTGGTGGTCATTGAATACATATTTTTGCAGATTTGGGTCCAGAAGTTGGCACTGGGAGTAAATGCTAAATCTTGTTGCCATTTTGCAGTTGGAAGAGATTGTATATTATCTGATTTGGTGATTATTTTGTATATTTTGGTGTTCAGTTTTTTGGGGGGAATATTTATGAAATCCGCAAATGTATCATGAAGGCCTAGATTTATTGTTTGGATGTAGATTTTTTTTTGGATTGCTGATTTACTCCCAATGCCATACTCCTGGGCCAACTGTGTCAGTGGTTTTAAACTGTTATTTGTGAGAATGTGATTGAGGTGAGTTATAGCTTTATCTGCCCATGAATGGAAGTACAGAGGTTTATTATTGCTTGTGAATTCTGGGTTGTGCCAAATTGGGGAGCGGATGGATGGGGCAAGGGGGGTGTTTGTTGGATCGTGAAGTTTCCACCAGGCTGTCAGAGCTGCCGATATAATTGGTGTTTTGAAAAGTGGGTATTTCTTTATTGATTGATTAAGGAAGGGCAGGTCTGAGAGATTGATGTTATTGCAAAGTGATTGTTCAGTGTCCATCCAGATTGAGTCAGATGTGTTTGAGTGGATCCATTTGTGTATGTACTGTAAATGATTAGCTAATGAATAGTGGTGAACATTTGGGGCATTGAGGCCTCCCTGTAGTTTTGGTTTCTGTAGTGTTGCGAGTTTGATACGGGGTGGTTGGTTTTTCCAGTAGAATTTGTTAATGGCAGAGTTGAGTGATTTAAACCAGATTTGAGAGGGTTGAACAGGGGTCATTGAGAGTATGTAGTTGATTTTGGGGAGTATTGACATTTTAGCCAAAGAGATTCTGCCTGCGATTGAAGTTAGGGATTCATCCAGCGTTGTAAATCTTCTTCTAATTCACCTTGGAGAGACCCATGAGGAAAATGCCGTTAGAGTTATTGGATTTAAGCATGTTTATTAGATTGAGCATGTTTGGCGCCCTAGGCCCGGGAGGGATGCTGTTGAGCGCGGCGCTTGCTCACGTGCATAATCCCCCCCGGGGCCTAGGCACTGGTGGCGGCAGAGGCAGTAGGCAAGCCCGCTTTGATGAGAGAAGGCAGACTTCAGAAGGCCGGGAAGTGGGAGTCTCCGGCTTTTAACTTGCTGTCCTGGTGGTTATTGGTTAACTGGATGTGGGCGTTGCTGGTCTGATGAGCCGAGGAAGAGCAGCCTGTAGGTCTGGGCAGCAGCAGCCGGGTCTACCACAGTGAACTTTCGCAAAGCTCCATTTGTTTGAGTAAGGGGGGGAAGTTGAGAGAGAACAGCTTTGAGAGCCTGGAGGAAACCTTTATTCCCAGGTAAGTGATGTGGTTTGAAGAGAGTGGGACAGGAGGTGTGACGGCTGCAACATCCCTACTGTTTGACTGTAAGGGGAGAATTTAGGATTTACTCCAGTTGATTGAATATTGTGAGAGTTTGGAAAATGTTTCGATGAGGTTTATTGTGTGGTGTAATGATGAAGGTGGGTTTTGTAAAAAGAGGAGGATATCATCTGCATGCAGGCTGATTTTGTGTTCGATTGATTGTGGTTGGAATCCTTTGATTTGGTTATTTTGGCGAATTGCTGCTGCAAGGGGTTCTAAGAAGATTATAAAAATATATAAAAAAAAAAAATAAAAATGGAGAGAGTGGGCATCCTTGGCGGTTTCCGCGGTGAAGAATAAAGGGACGTGAAGTTCTACCGTTGGTGATGACAGTGGCAGTAGGTGAGGTGTAAAGCATTTTTATCCAGTTGACAAACGACCCCCCGAAGCCAAATCTCTCCAGTGTGGCAAACAGGAAGGTCCAGTCGACCCTGTCGAAAGCCTTTTCTGCGTCCAAGGATGCAATGATGGTTTTTTCCTGTTGTAGAGTTGCCAGTGACTTAAACTGAACAGCCTGCGAGTATTGTCTGATGAGTGTCGTCCTTTAATGAAGCCAGTTTGGTCGGGATGAATGATCGTTGGGATTACTTCTTCTAGTCGGAGGGCGAGGGTTTTTGCTATGACATTGCTAAGAGAGATGGGCCTGTAACTGGAGGGCAGTGTAGGGTCTTTGTTGGGTTTGAGGATGAGGGAGATTGTGGCAGAGTTCATGTGGGTTGGCAGCTCACTGATCTGTTCTGATTCCTGTAGCACATGCATGAATAGCGGGGAGAGTGTGGGCCAAAAATGTTTGTAGAACTCAGCAGGGAAGCCATCGGGTCCAGGGGATTTATTGTTGGGCATAGCTTTAAGTGCTGTGCAGAGATCAAAATCTGTAATTGGTGAGTTTAAAGCTGATATCTGGTTAGCTGTAAGAATGGGTAGGTTGATATTGTTTAGAAATGTGTGGATATTGTTTATATTTGGGTCAGAGTCAGAGGAATACAGTTTCCTGTAGTAATTTTCGAAGGTTTCATTTATTCTTTGTGTGAAGTTATTTGCTCCCCTGCTGAGTTCTTAATGATGGGGATTGATGTTTTTTCTTTATTCAATTTGATCTGGTATTTTCCTGATTTATTGTTGTGTTGAAAATGTTCTTGTCGGAGTCTGTGGATAAGAAATGGAGTTTGTTTATTTGTTATTTCATTTAATTTGAGTTTCAATACTTTTATCTCTTTTTCCTGGTTCTCTGTTGGGTTGATCATGTTCGTGTGTTCCAGTGTGTTCATATCATGTTCTAACTTGTTTTCTAATTCTTTTTCTTTTCTAGCTTTGTGGACAGAGAACAAAATAATTCGGCCTGTTAGAACTGCCTTTCCTGTTTGCCACAGGAGTGAGGGTGAAGTCCCCGGGGAGTCGTTGGTCTCTGCAAAGGATGCCCACTCTCTTTTGAAAAAATGGTCAAAGTTTGGGTCTGCTAAGAGGGATGTGTTGAAACGCCATCTTGTTGGCTGTTTGGGGTGAGGTGAGAAGTTCCAGGAAATTGCTAGTGGGGCATGGTCGCTAATGGTTATTGGGTTTATATGTTGTTCTGAGATTTCTGCCATAATTGAGTTACTGTTGAGGATGAAGTCGATGCGTGAATATGAGTGATGGACTGGTGAGAAGAGGTTTTTTAGTCGCCAGCTATCGCCAAGGCCGAAATCTTTCATGAATTGTTTGATGGTTTCTGTAGATTGCCAGGGCCTTTTGACTGTATTGTTTGATTTGTCCATGGAGGGATCGAGAACTGTATTGAAATCACCAGCTAGTATAATTGGGCAGTTTGAGAAGTGTTTGATTTGTGTGCAAAGGGTTTGAAAAAATATTGGGTCATCTGTGTTTGGACCGTATACGTTACCGATTGTGAGGGGTGTGTTGATGGAGATGTTTATTATTATGTAGCGCCCCTCGGGATCTGCTATGGTACCGTGATGGGTAAATAATATTTTTTTTATGGATTAATATAAGATTAAAAATCTTAGATTGTCAGTCAAGTTGCATATGGAGTCAGTTTGCTGCAGGTCTGTTAGACCGCTAAGATAAGAGTTCCTTTATTCGTCCCACAGTGGGGACATTTCGTTGTTGCAGCGCACAGACAGGACAGTAGTAAGAGCACACAGGGAGCACACAATATATACAACATTAGCAGTAGCTATGTTTCTTAACTGGCTGTAGATGCTGGAAATGCTTCAATACCAGTCAACAAACATATACAGTACATGTAGTAGTGCAGAGTTATGTACTGTACATATAGTGCAGGATAATAAGTAGAAAAGTAAAGTGACATTGTTCAGTGACATTCTGAAGTTGCAGTATTGCACATTGCACATGATTTAAGAATTTACTTATTTACAGATGAATGAAATTTACAGGCTCAGCAGTTTTTATGGGTTAATGGGTCTAACAAAGACTGGTGATGATCCAGGACACTACATTCTACATGTGTGGACATTTAGCAACATTTTGGACATTGCTCTCTCCATATGGACCAGTTCATACAGTACATGTTCCATGTTCTTTGTGTCTTAACTGTTGATGCTCTGATCTGTGTTGGGGATTTCAATGGGTTTGTTCTGAGATAACTGATTCAAGGCTACAAAGGAATACATTGAATTGAATTGCTGACACCTCTTAGTCAGTGCTAATGCAACAAATACTTCACACGTTCTGAAACCCAGAGATGATCTGACAGGCCTTTATTGGAATCAAAACCCAAAGCAGAAACCAGTTACCAGAGAAATCACAAGAGGGACCTGAGAAAGAGATCAACCAGAGAACCAGAGGGACCAGAGCGAGGCCAAAGAGAAAGGCCAGAGAGAACATGGAGAGAGCAAAGAGAAAATAGAGGGACATTTATTGAAGTCAAAGCCAAAAGCAGTTTTTTTCATAGTTTATGATTCACATAGTTTGTCGCCCCCGTGTGGACAGCAGCAGAAGTGGCATTTTTAAAAATAGGTTTACGTTTATGAATAAACTTTAAAATACTGTTTGTAGTAGAATTATTATATTTACAGTTTATGTCTATAGAATTACAGTTTGTTCGCCTGTTCTCTACTGCCCCTGCTGGCCAGCCGCACCAACATCACCATCACACAGGACTTAATCAATTCAGACTGAGACACAATTCCATAGGAATCTCTGATATCCTCCCTGGGTCAGGCCTGGGTAGGGGCTGGGTTGGGGTCGGGCCTGGGTCGGGCCTGGGTCGGGCCTGGGTCGGGCCTGGTCTCAGTTGTTGGCAGTGAACTGTTGGTGCGTGGCCTCAATGAGGCGGCGTGCGCTGGCCGACAGATCCAGGATCAGGTCTTGGATTAGGTCTTGGATAAGGACTCTCTGGTCCCGGGTCCAGGACAGACTCTGGTCCAGGAGGAGGTTTAGGTCTGAGCAGACAGACTGTAGAGACAGCTCTGTGAAGCGGCAGGAGACCACAGCAGCCACCAGCCCCAGGGAGACCACCAAGAAGAGGCGTAAGAGGAGGCGCAGGACGGAGCGGCGAGCTGGTGTGAGAGGAGCTGCAGCCACTGATAGTTTCTCTGTGGAGAGAGGAGGAAGGAGGTGAGAGAGAGGAGATAGAGAAGAGAGAAAGACATTTATTGAAGTCAAAACCAAAAGCAGCATGTGTCATGAGTTTGTCGCCCCCGTGTGGACAGCAGCAGAAGTGGCATTTTTAGAATTAGGTTTTATGTTTCTGAATAAACTTTAAAACACTTTGAGTTAGAGAGGAGAGAGCAAGAGGCGCTCCTCCTCGCCTCCTTCTCCACGTACCTGTGCTCTTACCGCTCCTCCTCCTCTTCTCCTCCTGTCTCCTCCTGCTCTGCTCCTGTGCTGCCTGTGCTGCCACCTGCTGGTTGTACTCGTGTCTACGCCTCTCCTTCTCCTCTGCTTTCTCTCGTTTCTTCTGCTCTTTCTCTCTGGCCTCGCGCTCGCGCTGCTTGGCCTCTCGCTTCTTCTCCAGCTCTGAAACACAAAGACCAGGAATGACACACACACTCTCTGGTCGGTCTCTCTCTCTGGTCGGTCTCTCTCTCTGGTCGGTCTCTCTCTCTGGTCGGTCTCTCTCTCTGGTCGGTCTCTCTCTCTGGTCTGTCTCTCTCTCTGGTCTGTCTCTCTCTCTGGTCTGTCTCTCTCTCTGGTCTGTCTCTCTCTCTGGTCTGTCTCTCTCTCTGGTCGGTCTCTCTCTATGGTCGGTCTCTCTCTATGGTCGGTCTCTCTCTATGGTCGGTCTCTCTCTATGGTCGGTCTCTCTCTCTGGTCGGTCTCTCTCTATGGTCGGTCTCTCTCTATGGTCTGTCTCTCTCTCTGGTCTGTCTCTCTCTCTGGTCTGTCTCTCTCTCTGGTCGGTCTCTCTCTATGGTCGGTCTCTCTCTATGGTCGGTCTCTCTCTATGGTCGGTCTCTCTCTATGGTCGGTCTCTCTCTATGGTCGGTCTCTCTCTATGGTCGGTCTCTCTCTCTGGTCGGTCTCTCTCTCTGGTCGGTCTCTCTCTCTGGTCTCACCTTTCTCTCTCTGTAGTTTCTTCTGTCTGATCTTCTCCACCTCCTCATGTAGACCTCTCATGTGCTGAAGGACCTGGGACACAGAGAGAGTGGAGAGAGGAGACAGAGAGGAGAGGGAGGAGCCAGAGAGGAGAGGGAGGAGACAGAGAGGAGCCAGAGAGGAGAGGGAGGAGACAGAGAGGAGACAGAGAGGAGAGGGAGGAGACAGAGAGGAGAGGGGAGGAGACAGAGAGGAGACAGAGAGGAGAGGGAGGAGACAGAGAGGAGAGGGAGGAGACAGAGAGGAGAGGGGAGGAGACAGAGAGGAGACAGAGGAGAGAAAGAGGAGACAGAGAGAAGAAAGAGGAGACAGAGAGGAGAGGGAGGAGACAGAGAGGAGACAGAGAGGAGACAGGGAGGAGACAGAGAGGAGACAGAGAGGAGACAGGGAGGAGACAGGGAGGAGACAGGGAGGAGACAGGGAGGAGACAGGGAGGAGACAGAGAGGAGACAGAAGAGACAGAGAGGAGACAGAGGAGAAGGAGGAGCCAGAGAGAAGAGGGAGGAGACAGAGAGGAGACAGAGGAGGGGGTGTAGGGTCAGATAGTGTTTGGTAGGAAAAACTAAATTGATTGATTTTTTCAAATTAATGATAAACTAATAATTGAATGATGATCGGTTTCCACCATAGGTTTCTGTGACTCTATGATGTCACACTTAGGGTGGAGGTACCTGTGATGCACACTTGGGGGGGAGGTACCTGTGATGCACACTTGGGGGGGAGGTACCTGTGATGCACACTTAGGGTGGAGGTACCTGTGATGCACACTTAGGGTGGAGGTACCTGTGATGCACACTTAGGGTGGAGGTACCTGTGATGCACACTTAGGGTGGCGGTACCTGTGATGCACACTTAGGGTGGCGGTACCTGTGATGCACACTCTGGATGGAGGTACCTGTGATGCACACTTGGGGGGGGGAGGTACCTGTGATGCACACTTAGGGTGGAGGTACCTGTGATGCACACTTAGGGTGGAGGTACCTGTGATGCACACTTAGGGTGGCGGTACCTGTGATGCACACTTAGGGTGGCGGTACCTGTGATGCACACTCTGGATGGAGGTACCTGTGATGCACACTCTGGATGGAGGTACCTGTGATGCACACTCTGGATGGAGGTACCTGTGATGCACACTCTGGATGGAGGTACCTGTGATGCACACTCTGGATGGAGGTACCTGTGATGCACACTCTGGATGGAGGTACCTGTGATGCACACTGCTTACACTGCCGCTCGTCCAGACAGTCTCCTGCAGCTTTGGCCAAACCAGGCTCCAGAGGATTGTCCTTCAGGTCCAACCACCTCAGGCTCTGAAACACAGGGACCAAGAGAGACCATCAGGTACTGAAGAGCTGGTCTCTCTCTGGTCCAGTCTCTCTCTCTCTCTCTCTCGCTCTCTCTGGTCCAGTCTCTCTCTCTCTCGTTCGTCTCACTCTGAGTCTGCAGAAGGACACAGGGAGATCCTTCAGCCGGTTTCCCAGTAGATCCAGGTGCTGCAGATGTACCAGGTGACCAAACTCCTCTGGTAGACACTCCAGCTGGTTCTTATTCAGGTCCAGCTTCACCAGGTGAACCAGGCCACAGAATTCCGGCTGAGGAGACACAAGTATTGATTAAAGCTGGGGTACATACAGTGGGGCAAGAAAGTATTCGGCCCCCTTGAACCTTTCAACATTTCGCCACATTTCAGGCTTCAAACAAAGATATAAAAAAAAATTTTTTTGTCAAGAATCCACAACAAGTGGGACACAATCGTGAAGTGGAACGAAATTTATTGGAGAATTTAAACTTTTTTAACAAATAAAAAACTGAAAAGTGGGGCGTGCAATATTATTCGGCCCCCTTGCGCTAATACTTTGTAGCGACACCTTTTGCTGCAATTACAGCTGCAAGTCGCTTGGGGTATGTCTCTATCAGTTTTGCACATCGAGAGACTGGAATTCTTGCCCATTCTTCCTTGCAAAACAGCTCAAGCTCAGTGAGGTTGTTTTTATTTATTTGTGTGTGTGTGCGTGTGTAAGTGTGTGAGATATGGTAAAAATAAAATAACAATTTAACAAAAATTAAAAAGTATATGCACTGTAAATCTATAGACTGGTCCTGCTGCCGATACCATCACCCAAAAAGGTTCTAAACAATCCTGGGGGGGATCAGTTCAGCTCAGTGAGGTTGGATGGAGAGCGTTTGTGAACAGCAGTCTTCAGCTCTTTCCACAGATTCTCGATTGGATTCAGGTCTGGACTTTGACTTGGCCATTCTAACACCTGGATACGTCTATTTGTGAACCATTCCATTGTAGATTTGGCTTTATGTTTTGGATCATTGTCCTGTTGGAAGATAAATCTCCGTCCCAGTCTCAGGTCTTTTGCAAACTCCAACAGGTTTTCTTCCAGAATGGTCTTATACTATTTGGCTCCATCCATCTTCCCATCAATTTTAGCCATCTTCCCTGTCCCTGCTGAAGAAAAGCAGGCCCAAACCATGATGCTGCCACCACCATGTTTGACAGTGGGGATGGTGTGTTCAGGGTGATGAGCTGTGTTGCTTTTACGCCAAACATATCGTTTTGCATTGTGGCCAAAAAGTTCCATTTTGGTTTCATCTGACCAGAGCACCTTCTTCCACATGTTTGGTGTGACTCCCAGGTGGCTTGTGGCAAACTTTAAATGAGACTTTTTATGGATATCTTTGAGAAATGGCTTTCTTCTTGCCACTCTTCCATAAAGGCCAGATTTGTGCAGTGCACAACTGATTGTTGTCCTATGGACAGACTCTCCCACCTCAGCTGTAGTTATCTGCAGTTCATCCAGAGTGATCATGGGCCTCTTGGCTGCATCTCTGATCAGTCTTCTCCTTGTTTGAGATTAAAGTTTGGAGGGACGGCCGGGTCTTGGTAGATTTGCAGTAGTCTGATACTCCTTCCATTTCAATATAATTGCTTGCACAGTGCTCCTTGAGATGTTTAAAGCTTGGGAAATCTTTTTGTATCCAAATCCGGCTTTAAACTTCTCCACAACAGTATCTCGGACCTGCCTGGTGTGTTCCTTTGTCTTCATGGTTCTCTCTGCGCTTTAAACAGAACCCTGAGACTATCAAAGAGCAGGTGCATTTATACGGAGACTTGATTACACACAGGTGCATTCTATTTATCATCATCAGTCATTTAGGACAACATTGGATCATTCAAAGATCCTCACTGAACTTCTGGACTGAGTTTGCTGCACTGAAAGTAAAGGGGCCGAATAATATTGCACGCCCCACTTTTCAGTTTTTTATTTGTTAAAAAAGTTTAAACTATCCAATAAATTTCGTTCCACTCCAGGATTGTGTCCCACTTGTTGTTGATTCATGACAAAAAATTAAAATTGTATATCTTTATGTTTGAAGCCTGAAATGTGGCGAAATGTTGAAAGGTTCAAGGGGGCCGAATACTTTCGCAAGGCACTGTACAGTGGGGCAAGAAAGTATTTCGTCAGCCACCAATTTTGCAAGTTCTCTCACTTAGAAAGTATAATTTCCATCGAAAGGTAAACCTCAACTATGAGAAAGATGAGAAAAAAGCAGAAAATCACATTGTCTGAAAAATGTGGTGAAAATTAGGTATTTGGTCAATAACAAAAGTTAATCTCAATACTTTGTTACATGGCAATGACAGGGCTCAAACATTTTCTGTAAGTCTTCACAAGGTTTTGCTGGTATTTTGGCGCATTCCTCCATGCAGATCGTCTCTAGAGCAGTGATGTTTTGGGGCAACACAGACTTTCAACTTCCTCCAAAGATATTCAATGGGGTTGAGATCTGTAGACTGGCTAGGCCACTCCAGGGCCTTGAAATACTTCTTACAAAGCCACTCCTTCGTTGCCCGGGCGATGTGTTTGGGATCATTGTTGTAATGAAAGACCCAGCCACGTTTCATCTTCGATGCCCTTGCTGATGGACGGAGGTTTTCATTCAAAATCTCACAAATACATAGCCCCATTCATTCTTTCGTTTGCATGGATCTGTCGTCCTGTCCCTTTGCAGAAAAACAGCCCCAGAGCATGATGTTTCCACCCCCATGCTTCACATTAGGCCTGGTGTTCTTTAGGATGAAACTCTTTCAAACACGACGAGTTGAGTTTTTATCAAAAAAGTTGTAGTTTGGTTTCATCTGACCACATGACATTCTCCCAATCCTCTGCTCTATCATCCATGTGCTCTCAAGCAAACTTCAGACGGGCCTGGACATGTACTGGCTTCAGCAGGGGGACACGTCTAGCATTGCAGGATTTGAGTCCCTGGCGACCTAGTGTGTTACTTTGGCCCCAGCTCTCTGCAGGTCATTCACTGGCTCTGGGATTTTTGCTCATCGTTTTTGTGATCATTTTGACTCCTCGGGGTGAGATCTTGCGTGGAGTCCCAGATCAAGGGAGATTATCAGTGGTCTTGTATGTTTTCCAGTTTTCTCGCTAATTGCTCCCAGAGATTGCCTATTGCAGATTCAGTCTTCCCAGTCTGGTACAGGTCTACAATTTGGTTTCTTGTGTCCTTTGACAGCTCTTTGGTCTCGGCCATAGTGGAGTTGCCTTTAATACAGATGACAAGTGGAGGACAGAGGAGCCTCTTACAGAAGGAGTTACAGGTCTGTGAGAGACAGACATCTGTTTGTTTGTAGGTGACTAAATGGTCGGCACTAGATCATACACGGAATCGGGACAAAACCGGAAGTAACAATCCTTTTTTCAAATTAGTTTTAGACTAAAAAGTCCTTAAGTGGTGACTGGTTAAGTTAGGTGTCTGAGTAAGATGGTTAAGGTTAGGGCTAAGGCTGGGTTGGGGTTATTTTATGGGAATGGCTGGTTAAGTTTAGGCATGAATAGGTAGTTTGTTTTATTTACTTCCGCTTCCGTCCCGATTCCGTATATGATCTAGTGCTGACCGTGACTAAATACTTATGTTCTACCGTAATTTGCAAATAAAATCTTTAAAATTGTTTTCTGGATTTTTTTTCTTCTCATTCTGTCTCCCACAGAACGTTTTTAAATATATGATTAACTTTCTTACTGTGATCACTGTGATGTTATTGCAGGATAAATCCACGACAGTGACTTTGGAAACAGCAGCCTGAGGAGACAGAAGCAGAGACTTCACAAAAAACAACTAGTGGCCAGAGACCAGAGAGAGACCAGAGAGAACCCCCAGAAAGAGACCAGAGAGAAACCCCAGAAAGAGAGAGACCACAGAGAAGAAGACCAGAAAGAGAGAGACGAGAGAAAAGAGACCAGCGAGAGATCAGAGAGAGACCAGAGAAAGAGACATAACAAAGAGAGAGACTTAACCTGGTGCATTGTTCTGTAGTGAAATTAATATAACATTCTCTCACCAGCTCTCGCACCGGGACCTCCGTCAGGTTCCATAGGCTCAGGTCCGCCTCGTTCCCCTCGATCTTGTCTTTAATGTTCAGTAACTTGTTTTTACTCATGTTTCAGCCGTAACAATTACAGCTTATTGTGATAAAAGCACAAAAGAGAGTCCTACTGCATTCACTGCGGTGGCGTGTCCAGTTCGGAGGCAACGTCAGTCTATTTAAGATGTTAGATTAAAGAAATAACAAGAGAAAGGTTGGTATTAAAGCGGAGAAGAAGGTAAGAAGTCGCAGTGCTTGTGCTCAATGGAAATCCACGTCACAACAGGAACTAGCCGGAAGAAGCGGACCGGGTCACTTTTTCTCCAACACAATTCTACTTTACATGACGCAAATAGTATTTTCCCCTTTCCCAATGAATAATATAGTATTGAGTTTTTTAAAATATAAAATAAATAATTTTATGACGTTAAAGCTTTTATAAATAGAAGGTAATGTTTTTGCCTTATTCTGCGTTGGGGAAAACAGACCGCACTTTTTGCTCATAATATCCCTGTTATAATTCTATACAATATATTATTTAATGAATGTTAAAACAGGATACATGTAAGAAAATAGCTGCTATCATGATATTATGGCCTTTTATAATCGTAAATTTAAAGTATAGTAAATTGGTTAAATTGCGGTGGGAAAATAGTGATGTTGCGGACCGCACAACAGCTGCGCCACACAGCGAAGAAAATACACAGAAAATGTTTTTATTAGTATTTATTTTCACGGGAAATGTTTAACAATTGAACATTGTGATACGAATATTTACTGTTGACACATGCTGTATTTTATGTAGTTTGTTAAACATTTTATTTTCAAAATAAAATAAAACACATTTTCAATATATACTAATATAAATAACAAATCCAGACCAGGGCCAAGACCGAGACCAGGATTCAGACCATTGGACCAAGGCCAAAACCAGGACACCAGCTTTAATAAATCCAGAGGAGGAAGAGAAAGAGTAGGAAGACAAACACTGCAAAGACGTAGAAGACCAGGAAGTATCGTTTGAAGTTTTTGGCCTTTCCTCCTCTTTGCCTCGGTTTAGGATCAGGGACAGAGACTCTTTCAGGTCCTTCAGTTCAGCTGCCACATGGTCCAGGGAGAACTCCTCAGAGGAAATCACATGTTATTATGAGCATGGATGGAGCAAAACACAAGTGCATGTCTGTTGGAGGAACGATACTGTAGAATTTACCTTATTGTCCAAGTCTCCTGTGAGGGAATATTCGCTCTTCACAGCTGAAGGAAAATGTGCAAAAGTGAGTCTCTGCTCTCTCTCTGGTCGCTCTCAGGTCTTTCTGGTATCTCTCTCGCTTTCTGGTCTCTCCCTCTTGTCTCTCTGGTTTCTCTCTGGTCTTCCTCTGGTCTCTCTGGTTTCTCTCTCTCTCTGGTCTTTCTCTTTCATGTCTCTCTCTCTGGTCTCTCTCGCTGGTCTCCGGTCTCGCTGCTCACTCTGGTCTCTCTCTAGTCTCTCTCTGGTCTCTCTTTGGTCTTTCTCTCTGGTCTCTCAATTTTTTCTCTGGTCTCCCTCTAGTCTCTCTCTCTCTCTCTCTCTCTCTCTCTCTCTCTCTCTCTCTGGACTCCCTCTGGTCTCTCTCTAATCCCTGCTCCGGTTTACTTTGCCACAAAAAAAATAAAATAATACATGTACAAGTTCTAAATCGGGGTTGGTGATGGTTAGGAATTTTAAGGTTGTGTGTTCTGGTGCTGGTAAGTGTCAGGACCATGTGAGCACCTGAAGTTTGTAAAGCGTCTGCTTCTGGTTCCGGTGAGTCTTTGTTGATGAGATAAACCACCAGGATGCTCTGCATGAGACTGAGGAGCATCAGCGAGAAGATACCGATACAGTACACAGCTGCAAACAGAGACCAGAGAGACCAGTGAGACCACAGAGACAAAAGACACCAGTGAGACCAGAGAGACCAGAGAGACCACAGACTGTGAGACCAGAATGACCAAGGAGAGACCAGGGAGAGACCAGAGAGAGAATGACCAGGGAGAGACCAGAAAGACTCCAAGCTGCCATTGATGTTAAAGAGTGATAGACACTTATGACTTATGAGGACTGGGGGATGGAGACTTCTGGTCAGTCCTCACCGATGAGGGGGATGCGATTGGAGGAGGAGGGCAGGATGTCGTTGAGCAGCAGCTGCATCACAGTCACTGCCAGGAGGATGGTGATCTTAAATCCCAGCTTCTCTCCCCCAGTGTCCGACATCAGGAACGAGGCCAAGTCCAGGATCAGGAAGAAGACCACAGGGAGCAGGAAGTTCACGATGTAGAGGACCGAGCGACGCTTCATGGTGATCTGGGACAAAAGGGAAAATTGGGGATTAGATGTTCATGTAATGTGTTCAGTACAAACACAAATATTGTTTGCAGCTCTGTTTGAGGAGATCAGAGTCCAGTCTGTGGTGTCTCTGGTCTTTCTGGTCTCTCTCTGGTGTTCCTGATTCCTCACCGTGTACACAATGATGTCCTGGTTCCTCTCAAAGCTGGTCACGGTGTCGTTCCTGATGGTGATGTCCACAAACAGCCACTCGTATTGAGTCCTCATCTTCTCTCGAGTCCAAGCGGAGACCTTCTCCGAGTCCAAGACCACAACCAGGTTCAGCTCCTCCACTGGAACAGGGCCACACCTGGTTCAGTCCTGGTTCGGTCCTAAGTTGGTCCTGGTTCGGTCCTGGTTCAGTCCTGGTTTAGTCCTGGTTTAGTCCTGGTTCAGACTTACTCCACTGTCTCCGTCCAGATTCTGTTCTGGTTTACTGCCAGACCAGCCCTGCTTTAGATACAATCCTGGTCTGGTCTTGGTCCTGGTCCAAACCTGAATAGATGGCAGACTTGAAGGTGAGGTTGCAACTCTGGGAGTCGAAGGGGAACTTGTAGACGTGCATCTTGCAGGAGCTGGTGATGATGTGGTCCGACACCAGCTCCACCAAACCATCGGAGTACGCCACCATGTAGGGGGAGGGGGGGGAGGAGCCTTTCTCCGTGCTGAGGATCAGAGATCAAACCTGAGACTGGCTTCAGTTTTTGTTTCATTTTCTCTCTCTCTCTCTCTCTCTCTCTCTGGTCTCTCTCTGGTTTCTCTCGGCTCTCTCTCTCTCTCTCTGGTCTCTCTCTGGTTTCTCTCGGCTCTCTCTCTCTCTCTCTGGTCTCTTCCTGGTCCCTCTCCTTTGGTAATTCTGGTACTTACAGCTCCTCGATGGTGATGTCTGGCCTCCACAGCAGCTCTGTGGGGAGGGAGATCTTGTTGATGCCGCAGTGATCCTCTGGGCTCCACACCATGTGCTCATTAACACAGCTCTGAGGGAAAACACCAGGAGACGCTAAACCAGGAAAGATCAGTGTTCCTACCCAGAGAACAAACCATACCATCACAGACAGAATACAGGACAATTCACACCTGGACCTGAGTGTCTATGAGGTTGAAGCTGCCTACAGAGCCCCCTGCTGGGGAGGTCTAGTAATAGCAAGTGTATCAGTCTGCATTATGACTTCAGTTGTTGTCTGTTTATTGCTATTCACCTGCTGTCCCACTGTCTGTTTCATGACGTGATGATACGATCCCTGAACCCGGCCTCCTCCATCGGCATCTACAGCCTCAGTCCTGGATCTACAGCCTCAGTCTTGGATCTACAGCCTCAGTCTTGGATCTACAACCTCAGTCCTGGGTCTACAGCCTCAGTCTTGGATCTACAGCCTCAGTCCTGGGTCTACAGCCTCAGTCCTGGATCTACAGCCTCAGTCCTGGGTCTACAGCCTCAGTCCTGGGTCTACAGCTTCAGTCCTGGATCTACAGCCTCAGTCCTGGGTCTACAGCCTCAGTCCTGGATCTAAAGCCTCAGTACTGGGTCTACAGCCTCAGTCCTGGGTCTACAGCTTCAGTCCTGGATCTACAGCCTCAGTCCTGGGTCTACAGCCTCAGTCCTGGATCTAAAGCCTCAGTACTGGGTCTACAGCCTCAGTCCTGGATCTACAACCTCAGTCCTGGGTCTACAGCCTCAGTCTTGGATCTACAGCCTCAGTCCTGGATCTACAGCCTCAGTCCTGGATCTACAGCCTCAGTCCTGGATCTACAGCCTCAGTCCTGGATCTACAACCTCAGTCCTGGGTCTACAGCCTCAGTCCCGGATCTACAGCCTCAGTCCTGGATCTAGAGCCTCAGTCCTGGGTCTACAGCCTCAGTCCTGGATCTACAGCCTCAGTCCTGGGTCTACAGCCTCAGTCTTGGATCTACAACCTCAGTCCTGGGTCTACAGCCTCAGTCTTGGATCTACAGCCTCAGTCCTGGGTCTACAGCCTCAGTCCTGGATCTACAGCCTCAGTCCTGGGTCTACAGCCTCAGTCCTGGGTCTACAGCCTCAGTCCTGGGTCTACAGCTTCAGTCCTGGATCTACAGCCTCAGTCCTGGGTCTACAGCCTCAGTCCTGGATCTAAAGCCTCAGTACTGGGTCTACAGCCTCAGTCCTGGATCTACAACCTCAGTCCTGGGTCTACAGCCTCAGTCTTGGATCTACAGCCTCAGTCCTGGATCTACAGCCTCAGTCCTGGGTCTACAGCCTCAGTCTTGGATCTACAGCCTCAGTCCTGGATCTACAGCCTCAGTCCTGGATCTACAGCCTCAGTCCTGGATCTACAGCCTCAGTCCTGGATCTACAACCTCAGTCCTGGGTCTACAGCCTCAGTCCCGGATCTACAGCCTCAGTCCTGGATCTAGAGCCTCAGTCCTGGGTCTACAGCCTCAGTCCTGGATCTACAGCCTCAGTCCTGGGTCTACAGCCTCAGTCCTGGATCTACAACCTCAGTCCTGGGTCTACAGCCTCAGTCTTGGATCTACAGCCTCAGTCCTGGGTCTACAGCCTCAGTCCTGGATCTACAGCCTCAGTCCTGGATCTACAGCCTCAGTCCTGGATCTACAGCCTCAGTCCTGGGTCTACAGCCTCAGTCCTGGATCTACAGCCTCAGTCCTGGGTCTACAGCCTCAGCCCTGGGTCTACAGCCTCAGCCCTGGATCTACAGCCTCAGTCCTGGATCTACAGCCTCAGTCCTGGATCTACAGCCTCAGTTCTGGATCTACAACCTCAGTCCTGGGTCTACAGCCTCAGTCCTGGATCTACAGCCTCAGTCCTGGATCTACAGCCTCTGTCCTGGATCTACAGCCTCAGTCCTGGGTCTACAGCCTCAGTCCTGGATCTACAGCCTCAGTCCTGGGTCTACAGCCTCAGTCCTGGGTCTACAGCCTCAGTCCTGGGTCTAGAGCCTCAGTCCTGGGTCTAGAGCCTCAGTCCTGGATCTACAGCCTCAGTCCTGGATCTACAGCCTCTGTCTTGGATCTACAGCCTCAGTCCTGGATCTACAGCCTCAGTCCTGGGTCTACAGCCTCAGTCCTGGGTCTACAGCCTCAGTCCTGGGTCTAGAGCCTCAGTCCTGGGTCTAGAGCCTCAGTCCCGGATCTACAGCCTCAGTCCCGGATCTACAGCCTCAGTCCCGGATCTACAGCCTCAGTCCCGGATCTACAGCCTCAGTCCTGGATCTACAGCCTCAGTCCCGGGTCTACAGCCTCAGTCCCGGGTCTACAGCCTCAGTCCTGGGTCTACAGCCTCAGTCCTGGATCTAGAGCCTCAGTCCTGGGTCTACAGCCTCAGTCCTGGATCTACAGCCTCAGTCCTGGGTCTACAGCCTCAGTCCTGGATCTAGAGCCTCAGTCCTGGGTCTACAGCCTCAGTCCTGGATCTACAGCCTCAGTCCTGGATCTACAGCCTCAGTCCTGGATCTACAGCCTCACTCCTGGATCTACAGCCTCACTCCTGGATCTACAGCCTCAGTCCTGGATCTACAGCCTCAGTCCTGGATCTACAGCCTCAGTCCTGAATCTACAGCCTCAGTCCTGGATCTACAGCCTCAGTCCTGGATCTACAGCCTCAGTCCTGAATCTACAGCCTCAGTCCTGGATCTACAGCCTCAGTCCTGGGTCTACAGCCTCACTCCTGGATCTACAGCCTCAGTCCTGGATCTACAGCCTCAGTCCTGGGTCTACAGCCTCAGTCCTGGATCTACAGCCTCAGTCCTGGATCTACAGCCTCAGTCCTGGATCTACAGCCTCAGTCCTGGGTCTACAGCCTCAGTCCTGAATCTACAGCCTCAGTCCTGGATCTACAGCCTCAGTCCTGGATCTACAGCCTCAGTCCTGGATCTACAGCCTCAGTCCTGGGTCTACAGCCTCAGTCCCGGATCTACTGTCTCAGTGTTGCTCCCTATGGACCAATGTCCCTATGTGTTTGTTATTACTGCATTTCCTGTCGTTTGAACTGTTTGATTCTCCGATCTGTTGTTGGTGAATCCACAACTTCACAGTCCTCTGAGACGACTGCAAATAAATTTAATCGAATAGATTTGAATGTGTTTAATTTCTATTCAGTATGAGTTCTGTCCTTTTGAACCATGTGAGACTCACCATGAAGGTCCAGAGGCAGGTGACGCAAGTCTGGTCTGTTTCTCTCTGTAAACACCAGAGGGACATGGTATTGAAAGACAAAGAACATTTTTTTTACATCACACATGGTATTGGAGACACTGCTCCTGAAAGTGTTATCCTTTTTTTATTCTGGTCTCTCTGGTCTCCCTCTGGTCCCTCTCTGGTCTCACTAGTCCCTCTGGTCTCCCTCTAGTCTCTGATCTCCCTCTGGTCTCCCTCTGGTCCCTCAGGTCTCACCACGTCCAGTATGGCATACAGAACCACCTCCAGGTAGATGAGGACAGGAGCAGAGATGTTCTTCACGGGTCTAAACATCTGGAACTTCTCTGAGGTCTTCAGCTGCAGGGCCCCAGCCAGGGCCTCGTACGAGCAGGGGTCGGGCCACTGGGGGTCCGCCACGCCAAAACCTACAAGGATGAACCATAGACTATATATATATATAAATATTAGCGGACGTAGTGACATCTATTTCCCCCCATTTTCAAAAAGGCAGCAAGTGGAAAATCACAGGAAAATGTGAGTAAACACATCTGCACATGCGCTAGCTACAAGAGCCCCGTTCATTGAACGAGTGCATTCAAAAGTCCACAGCGGCTTTATCTTATCTTATCTTTTCCAGAGAGAAGATGGAGTTTGTAGAATTCACTGGAGAATTCTGTTTCCTGTACACAGGAGTCAGATTACAGCTCGTGCTCATGCAGCTGTGGACCGGGACCCGCTCACACTGGTCTGGACCAGGAGACAGTGGAAGAACTGCTATTACTCCTACTGCGGCTGCTGCTGAGAACAGCAGTCGTTGTTGCAGCAAAACACAACTGTTTATCACCTGGATTTGAACATTGTCAGAGAAGAAGCTGTCTCACATTTTCAAGAAGACTGTTCAAGATTATAGCTACATGCTACTACTATTACTACTGTGACTACTGCGACTACTGCTGCCAGTGGTTCTGACCTAAGTCCATCAATGGGTCCTCTCCGAGGCCTGATCCTGCGTCTGGTCTTGGGGGTCCCACCGCAGCAGGGACCTTCGGGGGCCGGCTGTTTCCTTTGGGACGCTTGATGACCATGAAGGCTCCATGAGCCGCTCCTGAAACACAAACAGATCCCGTTTCTTTGCAGTAAAACCACAGTGGAATAACTGTACAACAGTCCCCAGCACCAGACAGGAACAGGAATAGACAAGATGCAAGTACAGGAACCATCACCGTGAAACCATCAGCAACAGCTGCTAGCATATCCAGATGTCCTGCATCTCAGCAAACCATATCTTCTACCAGAGGGAAGAAGCTGAAACAGGGCTTTTCCAGGGGCCAGAAGAGTCACTGCTTATTCTTAGATCTGAATTTAAGAGTCAGGTTTCATAAAGAACCTCCAAAAACAGACATCTCACAGTCCTCTTTCAGGGCGGAGCTCCTCTCTCTGGTCTCTCTCTCTGGTCTCCCTCTCTATCAATCAATCAATCAATCCTCGATTTTCTCACAGATGGAGAAATTCAGTTCGATGAATAAACATCAAGGCCGGCTGCGGACAACTATCCGCGCTCCTTATGACAGTTATTCAACAGCAGAGAGCAAAACAAACATATATTTCAACAGACATTATTGGATGGAAACAGTGCATGCTGGGAAAGCATAGGGATATTTTTTAAGGGACATCGTCACTCTGACCCGCCTCGTCCATTATGGCGTGTCAGAGGGGGAGTGTGGGTGGGGAAGGTGGAGGGGAAGACCACCATAGACAGAAAGAGAGAGGGAGGCAGACATGTAGAGGGAGTGAACCAACCAACTGGTGACTGATGTCTATGAGTTATGAGAGAGAGAGCCCATCTTCGGCCTTGAAAGGCCGGCTGTGTGGTGGAATGTGACACAGATAAGAGCAGGTGCCTGCGGACGTGAGAGACAAAACAACACATATGCCTTGTGGGAATTTGTAAAGCACTTTAGCTGGTCAAATCAAAGGCAGTGTAGACTTTAACGCCAAATAAGTCCAAATTAACTAGAACTGGATCCCTCTGTTCACCGTTATCCAGAGTTGACCACGTCAGTGCGAGGGTTCGCCATTAGGCCCAAGTCCTTCAATCAATCCCTCCAAACGCTTATGTCCTTCCATAGACCTCACTCCCAGGTCTCTAAGGGAATCTTCAGTCTGTGCCACAGCCCTCTGTGTCCCTCGACCACGACTCTGGTCAACTCACGGAAACTCCTTTTTTTCCGTGGTAAGCCGCTCGTAAATCTTCTGAGTGGACATTCCTCCGACTTTGCGGTAGATCAGGCCAACTCCAAATCCAATCAGGAGGAACCCTGCTACCATAAATCCAAAAATGTATATATACTCAATGTCCTCGATGGACAGTCCGACAGACAGATGGGGTGCCACTTCTGCCAGTTGTCAAAAACGTACCCAGCAGCCGCCGTACCGTCCGCACAGACGGCATCTCCAGAACTGCCTTTACGCGATGAAAAAATAGTATCAATTGCGTTGAGGGACCAGTTGATTAATTCAATCATTTTCAAGTTGCATACGCAGGCAGAACTCAGGAAAAAAGACAGTCAAGGCAAGCAGAACAGGAGCAGGCAAGAGACACGTCTGAGACTCTCTGGTCTCTCTCTGGTTTTTCTGGTCTCTCTCTGGTCTCTCTCTGGTCACACTGAATGTTAGGTTTTGTTTCAACCTAAAACGTTTTGAAACAAAAGGAATATTCACAAAGACAAAATGTTGTGCTATTTTCTTTTCTCCATGTCACAAAATACTGATTGAGACTCACCGGTGAAGAGCAGCAGGAGAAACCAGCAGGAGAGCATCATGACTAGGATATCTGTGGAGGGACTGGTCTGGGTCTAGTCCAGCTTCAGACCTGCCTTAGTCCAGATCTGGTCTGTTTAAACACTGAGTCTCTGTGGGGAGAGGCTTTTTGCTCCTTACGAACATTAATGATTCAGAAAGCTCTGTGGTCGCTTTAGAGACGTCATGATTACTCTTGCTTCTAATGTTCAGGACACAAAGTCTCTCTCTGGTCTCTCTCTGATCCCTCTCGTCTCTTTCCGGTCTCTCTCTCTCTGGCCTTTATGGTCTTCCGTGGTCTCTCTATGGTCTATCTCTGGTCTCTTTGTGGTCTCTCTCTCTGGTCTCGCTCTGGTCCCTCTCTCTCTTGTGGCTTGTTCCTCTGGGAGACAGGAGGAAGAGCAGTATTGATCTGGCACCAAATGGAGGCTCATTAGAGCTGTAGAAGTCCATCAAATCCTTGATACTGGAAGAAACATGAGTCCTGGTCCTGGTTCTGGTCCTGGTCTCAGTCTATGGCCAGAGTCCTGGTCCTGGTATAGTTTTCTGCATGCTTTTTTGTCAATTTGTAGATCTTTTTTTTTTTTCAGACAGAAGAGTGACACAGACTGGACCACCCTCCCTCAGCCAATCAGCTCTCAGCCCAAAGAGTCAGATAGTGTCTCAGCAACACTTTCTGTGGGAAACATATATATATGTTCTTCAAACTATAAAAACACATGGTGCAGTGTTAATGACGTCTCACATGGTGCAGGTTGAAGACGTTTCAAGGAGCGACACAAACAAGTGATGAGGACAGGTTTTATTCTTTAAGACGAGAATGTTTTGGTCTCGATTAAGTCTTTAAGAGTTGAATTTAAAAGGACACTTAAAGGACTGGTCTTGGTCTGTCTAGTCCCTCTCTGGTCCCTCTCTGGTCTCTCTCTTGTCCCTCTCCAGTCTCTCTCTGGTCTCTCTCTGGTCTCTCTCTAGTCCCTCACTGGTCTCTCTCTGGTCTCAGTTCACCCAACGGTAGAAGATGACCCCCAGGAACACACAGGTGCAGGTGCTGTAGACGCAGAGAAAGACTTTGTGTATGCGTGGGACCCTGGAGCTCCAGTAGCCCTCGTCCTGCTCGCTGTTGCCCCCTGCAGCCTGAGCAAGCACACTGCACACATGATGGAGCTCAAACAGGAGCCGCTGCTCGCCTGATGCTCCACCCGCCGGGGAGAGAGTGTGGTCCTGTGGAAGAGGCGAGAGTCTCAGTATAAAGGCTCTACCACTGAAGAGTCGTGTTTTCATATCTCTCTGGTCTCTCTCTGGTCTCTCTCTGGTCTCTCTCTGGTCTCTCTCTGGTCTCTCTCTGGTCTCTTTCTGGTCTCTTTCTGGTCTCTTTCTGGTCTCTTTCTGGTCTCTTTCTGGTCTCTTTCTGGTCTCTTTCTGGTCTCTTTCTGGTCTCTTTCTGGTCTCTTTCTGGTCTCTTTCTGGTCTCTTTCTGGTCTCTTTCTGGTCTCTTTCTGGTCTCTTTCTGGTCTCTTTCTGGTCTCTTTCTGGTCTCTTTCTGGCCTCTTTCTGGTCTCTCTCTGGTCTCTCTCTGGTCTCTCTCTGGTCTCTCTCTGGTCTCTCTCTGGTCTCTCTCTGGTCTCTCTCTGGTCTCTTTCTGGTCTCTTTCTGGTCTCTTTCTGGTCTCTTTCTGGTCTCTTTCTGGTCTCTTTCTGGTCTCTTTCTGGTCTCTTTCTGGTCTCTTTCTGGTCTCTTTCTGGTCTCTTTCTGGTCTCTTTGTCTCTTCGGTCTCTTTCTGGTCTCTTTCTGGTCTCTTTCTGGTCTCTTTCTGGTCTCTTTCTGGTCTCTCTCTGGTCTCTCTCTGGTCTCTCTCTGGTCTCTCTCTGGTCTCTCTCTGGTCTCTCTCTGGTCTCTCTCTGGTCTCTCTCTGGTCTCTCTCTGGTCTCTCTCTGGTCTCTCTCTGGTCTCTCTCTGGTCTCTCTCTGGTCTCTCTCTGGTCTCTCTCTGGTCTCTCTCTGGTCTCTCTCTGGTCTCTCTCTGGTCTCTCTCTGGTCTCTTTCTGGTCTCTTTCTGGTCTCTTTCTGGTCTCTTTCTGGTCTCTTTCTGGCCTCTTTCTGGTCTCTTTCTGGTCTCTCTCTGGTCTCTCTCTGGTCTCTCTCTGGTCTCTCTGAGACGTGACGGACACCTGAGACTCTTAGGTGTCCGTCACGTCGCGCACAGGTCTTCTTTGGTCTCTCTCTGGTCTCTCTATTAAAGTTTCTGCAGTACCTGGGTTTCCTCCGTGTGCTCCTGTTCCTCAGCATGTTCCTCACAGAGACACGACACACACCTGTTCTTCTTCAGCACTGGAACAATATGACAGCAAAGACATACTGTATCTACATCTGAAGATTCTTGTGAGTCACTATCTGACTCTTTGGGCTGACTGAGGTCCTCTCTGTGTCACTTTCTGTCTGAAACTACGGATGTGACAGAGGCCAGAAATACGTGATGTTTTGGGGTGCCCCCTGCATGTGAAGCTAAGCAGGGCAGGGCTTGGTTAGTACTGTGATGGGAGACCTCTGGGAACACCAGGTGCCACAGTGGCACTGTAGAAGAATGAGTCTGGTGTGTGTATGAATGGTTGATGGTGTTGCGAGGGGCCAATGGCACATACTGGTTGCCTTTCTTCTGTCAGTGTGCCCCAGGGCAGCTGTGGCTACAGTAGTAGTTTATCACCACTGTGTTTGGAGTGAATTAATAATGACATGTGAAGTGTCCTTGAGTGTTCTGAAAAGAGCTGCATGAAAGTGATGCATTACTATGTGTAAACTGTTTCTCTATCTGGTTTCTCTTTGGCCCCTCTCTCTCTTGTCTCTCTCTGGTCTCTCTCGGGGTCTCTCTCTAGCCTCTCTCTGGGCTCTCACTGGTCTCTCTCTCTGGTCTCTCTCTCTGGTCTCTGTCTGGTATCTCTCTAGTCTCTCTCTGGTCTCCCTCTCTGGTCGTTACCATGGGTGTCCTCTGTCTGCTGGTTCCTCTGTGACTTTTTGTCTTGCTCCAGCAGGTACATGACCACGATGGTCTCCAACAGACTGAGCTTCATGAGCCAAAACACACCGAGGCAGAAGATCGCTGTGGACCAGGGGACACCAGGAACATCAAGGACACCAGACACAAGGATTAGATACAAATCTATCACATCAACCAGTTCTTTCCAAGAAAGAAAAAGAGCTTTATAATAATTCTGATCCCCCTCTGGAATTTCACAGGTCTCTTTCGCTCTGGTCTCTCTCTGGTCTTCCTTTGGTCTCTCTCTGGTCTTCCTTGGATCTCTCTCTGGTCTCTCTCTGGTCTCTCTCTGGTCTCTCTCTGGTCTCTCTCTGGTCTCTCTCTGGTCTCTCTCTGGTCTCTCTCTGGTCTCTCTCTGGTCTCTCTCTGGTCTCTCTCTGGTCTCTCTCTGGTCTCTCTCTGGTCTCTCTCTGGTCTCTCTCTGGTCTCTCTCTGGTCTCTCTCTGGTCTCTCTCTGGTCTCTCTCTGGTCTCTCTCTGGTCTCTCTCTGGTCTTCCTTGGGTCTCTCTCTAGTCTCTCTCTGGTCTCTCTCTGGTCTCTCTCTGGTCTCTCTCTGGTCTCTCTCTGGTCTCTCTCTGGTCTCTCTCTGGTCTCTCTCTGGTCTCTCTCTGGTCTCTCTCTGGTCTCTCTCTGGTCTCTCTCTGGTCTCTCTCTGGTCTCTCTCTGGTCCTCACCGATGAGGGGGATGCGGTTGGAGGAGGAGGGCAGGATGTCGTTGAGCAGCAGCTGCAGAACAGTCACTGCCAGGAGGATGGTGATCTTAAATCCCAGTTTGTCGCCCCCTGTGTCTGACATCAGGAATGATGCAAAATCCAGAAACAGGAAGAAGAGGATCGGAAGGATGAAGTTTACCACGTACAGGGCAGATCGCCGCCGCACTGTGACCTGCCAGACACACAACCTCAGCCCTGGGTCTACAGCTTCAGTCCAAGGTTTACAACCTCTGTCCTGGATCTTCAGCCTCAGTCTTGGGTCTACAGCCTCAGTTCTGGGTCTACTGCCTCAGTCCTGGGTCTACAGTCTCAGTCCTAGATCTCCGGCCTCAGTCCTGGGTCTACAGCCTCAGTCCTGGGTCTACAGCTTCAGTTCTGGATCTGCAACCTCTGTCCTAGATCTTCAACCTCAGTCCTGGGTCTACAGCCTCGGTCCTGGGTCTACAGTCTCAGTCCTGGGTCTCGGCCCTCACCATGTAGACCAACACACTCTGTGGTTCGTTCATGCCATTAGAGCTTGTGTTTTCGAACTTGATGTCCTCAAAAAGCCACTCGTACTCGTTCTGCATCTGAGACCGGATGGAATCTTTCATGAGGTCTTCTGAGGCCGTGTTTTCCAGGACCAGCTCACTGCCTACAACAGCAGAAGAAGAAGAAGTCAACAGCAGAAGAAGTCAACAGCAGATAAGAGGAAGAAGTCAACAGCAAAAAAAGTCAAAAGCAGAAGAAGTCAACAACAGAAGAGTCCAATGGTGTAGGTTTGGTTCCAATCTTGGTGGGGACATTCACTACGACCTGAGTCTACACCCATTGGCACGCGGTCCAGAGTTTCTCCCCCAGAATTTGTTGTGTAATCACACACTATATTTGCAATAGTGTGTTGCCTTCTATACTAAACTCAGCTGTAGACTGAATGAGAAGCAGTTAAGGATTATTTCTAATAGTTAAAACAAAATCAATTGGATCAGAGCTTCTGAGTTTTGTGTTGCGTTCATTCTATACTGACTTAAACCTAATCCAAATCTACATAATAGCCCTCACCTGAGGCTCTAACAGTTCAGGAACTGCTCTCGATACTTGAAATAAATCATGCTCTGATCTTTCAATTTCCTATAATAAATAAAAACAGAGGAGAAAATATTGAATTAGAATCTACAGTGAGTAGCTCACTACATTGTTTGACATATACGATCAATCTCTAAAAACAATTCATAGTCCCATGCATACCTACAAAATTCCAACCTCACCTGATGCACTGAAGGGCCTGTTGCTTCTACCTCAACATTCCCTATATTGTTCTCTCTTGTTGGTTGAGTTTCCTATGTATGTTAACAGAAGATTAATCATCACAATTCATAATTTGCTATTACTTGTGCTTTCGCTTACTTACTTTCCAACTGTTAAAAAAGCTCCTGATATCTTTTATCTTTTTTTGTGGAGGTGGCATTTTTTCTAAATTATATAAGAAGGTATAGACCAGGGGTGTCAAACTCATTTTGGTCCGGGGACCACATAAAACCTAATCTGATCTCAAGTGGGCCGGACCAGGAGATGCTCTACAAAAATATCCAAAAACGGTACAAAGTCCAACTTTTTGTGCACATAAACACATTTATTTAAAACTTCCTTTAAAACACTATCCTTTAATACTCAGTTTTCTGTTACAAACTTAAATGTAACGGTGAGTTTTTACGTATTTACAATATTACATTGAAAATGGTATTTCACAATATGTATATTAATATTTGTATGTTAGCTTTGTTTTAAGGCTCATTACAGAGAAAACCTGCTCACAAAGGTAAAGTAGATAGAAAAAAGCACTAAAACGCAGCACCTCAGCTTAAACATCTTCAGTGTGGTAAGGTCCATGGTTATGTTATTATCACATTAACCATCTTCAGTGTGGTAAGGTCCATGGTTATGTTATTATCACATTAACCATCTTCAGTGTGGTACGGTCCATGGTTATGTTATTATCACATTAACCATCTTCAGTGTGGTAAGGTCCATGGTTATGTTATTATCACATTAACCATCTTCAGTGTAAGGTCCATGGTTATGTTATTATCACATTAACCATCTTCAGTGTGGTAAGGTCCATGGTTATGTTATTATCACATTAACCATCTTCAGTGTGTAAGGTCCATGGTTATGTTATTATCACATTAACCATCTTCAGTGTAGTAAGGTCCAAGGTTATGTTATTATCACATTAACCATCTTCAGTGTAGTAAGGTCCATGGTTATGTTATTATCACATTAACCATCTTCAGTGTGGTACGGTCCATGGTTATGTTATTGTCACATTAACCATCTTCAGTGTAGTAAGGTCCATGGTTATGTTATTATCACAGAGAAAACATCAAACTGACCATGATTCACTTGAAATGAATAAAATAACTTCCATAACGTGATCCAATCTTAACGACTGCAGCAGTGTCTCTGTGTAAAATACAGTCAAATGTCCAAAAATCATCACCTCCATTTGCAGCTTTGTCACTACACCTGTTTTTACCATCGGTACCAGTCCACACTGTCCAACACACCAGCAACAACAGCAGAACCAGCAGCAGCACCAGCAGCAGCGCTCAAAACTCCTCTGATAGTTTCAGTAACACCACAAATGAATATGTGACATCAGTAACATCAGTCTCTTATCAATGGCAACATGTTGGTAAAAGCGAGTGGTTTCTCAGACCATGTCTGCAGCCTGTAAGAGTTTTAACAAACTCTCTCTCACTGTGCGGCTGCGATGCTAATGCTAATGTTGTTAGCACAGGTAGCTTCCCTTTACAGCAGCAGAACTAACCTCTCGCTCTGGGCACAAACAGACTGCTGTGTCTTCAGGGCCAGACAGGTTTATCTTCTGTTTTCTCAATTCTCCGCTCAAAGTGCCGTTTTTTTTGCCGAGTCTTGTAGTTTAAGATGTTATTCCTTCAGCACCGCTCTGGTGGAGCCACTACAGACGCACTGGACTCACCCCTGAGCGCGGCGCTGCGGCGTCGCGGCGCCTCACGTCGCGGAGCGGCTTTTTAAAATGTATTTTTATTATATTTTTACATAAATGAGCCACGGGCCGTGTCAAATCTCTTGGCGGCCGGTTCCGGCCCGCGGGCCGTATGAATGACACCCCTGGTATAGAAAATCAAAAACAGACATTCATATACATGAACTGCAGAATCATTTATATAACTTGGCCAATGTCAAAAGTTACATAGTATTTCTCAATACAATGAGTTAACAAGAGTTTGGCAATAAGTAACAGTGTGGATTTTTCTATATTTTCTTTTTTTTATTCCACTCTCAACCCAAAAAGGCAAGTAATGACTCACAGGGCTCTCAAGTATGCAAAATAAAAACTTAAATGACCTGTTGTGGTGTGTTTTGCGCACAACCACCATGCATCGTTAACGCAATGGAAAATTTAGGTATCCGAGCTTTAATTTCGGGAGCGCTGGTTGCGCTTTGGGAAGAGTCAGGGGAGAGACATGTCAGAGACACAGGGGAGAAACGGGGGAGATACGAGGGAGACCCGCACTTGCAACATGGTTCTGTCTGCATATGGTCCGAGCTCGGTACCATGTTAGAGCTGTGCTTGTCACTCCCGTATTCGCCCCTGAAACCGGATTTGTCCGGAAGTTCAGTTTGATCCAATGAGCACAGGCAGCAGTAGATTACGTCATGGAATCTGGACGGAAGCGGAAGTAAATATAAAAAACTACCTATTCATGCCTAAACTTAACCAGCCATTCCCATAAAATAACCCCAACCCACCCTTAACCCTAAACTTAACCATCTTAATCAGACGCCTAAACTTAACCAGTCACCACTTAAGGACATATTAAACTTTTTGACATGCGCAAACTGAACTTCCGGACGAATCCGGTTTCCGGGACAAATCCGGGAGTGACAGGCACGACGTATGCACAAACGGAAGACATGTGTCCCGGACCGTCCGGGTCACGGGACATCATGTCATTTTGGTGGGGACTTTTTAGTCCTCACCAAATATTGGTGGGGACATGTCCCCATGGTCCCCACGCAAACCTACGCCCTTGGAAGAGTCCCTTTCCCCCTCCCCGGTCTTACTGGTTTTCTTGGTCTTACTGGAGTGAACGAAGGACTTGATTGACAGGTTGCAGCTCTGCATGTCGAAGGGGAACTTGTAGACGTGCATCCTGCAGGAGCTGACGATCACCTGGTCCTGGTTCATCATCACATGACCAGTACTCTTGAGGACCAGGAAGGGACTGGGCGGAGTCTTGTCTTTCTCCACCCTGAATCACACTCAGGTCAGACCACAGAAAGAAACCAGAAAGAGATCAGAGCGAGAGACTAGAGAGAGATCAGAGAGAGGGACCATAGAGAGGGACTAGAGAGAAACCAGAGAGAGAGTGTAATGGGGCATTCAGAGCTGATCATGCGTTGCAGCAACTTTCAATCCAAAGCAAAGGAAGTTTTCTCACCCATCCTCTGTACTTCCATCCATCCATCTACTTTTTTCCCCTTAATCCATTTCTGGGTCAGGGGGGATGGCAGTCAGAGCTGCACCCAGTACACAGAGCACCAGCCCCTCACTGATCCTCCTGCAGGTGGTGAGTTCACAGGGGCCTTGATCTTCCAGCGGGGGCTTCAGGCAAAGTGGGGTTTAGTGTCTTGCCCAAGGAAACAGCAACAGCAACCATCAGTGGGAGTCATGAAGTAGGTCTTGCGGTGGGCTCGAACCCACAACCTTCAGGCCCAAGGCCAATGCTCTACTAACTGAGCCACTGTACTTCTTAGCAGGTTTTCCAGACGTTTCGTTCTTAATCCAAAGAACTTTTTAAAGGGAATGAAAGCTCAGACCACGCTTTGGAGATTTATAACCTGTGGGTGTGGTTAGACACACATCTATCTAATTAACACATCTAAGGTCCGTTAAGATGTGGTAGGGAGCAAAAAGCCATTGCCTCTTACCATGGGACAGTGCCAAGCCATTGGTTTTCAATATGTACATAGCTATACCCGATTTTTTTTCTAATGAGCTCATAAAAGAGACATAGCGAGCTCTCCTCCAATCACAGAACGAGGAGCGAACACGACGCGTCCTCTAGCTTCTACAGGGCTGGTAAATAAATTAGCATGTTAGCAGAATTGGCTATAATTCCTCTGGCTGTAACTGCAGACACAGCAAAACAGCCCAAATGACACAACAGTGAGGAAGAAAAGAGGGAACTAAAGCAAAAAAATGATCAAAGAAGAAATCAAGCCCGGGTAAACATAGCTAGCTTACATCATATCCTCTGGAGAGACTTACAGTCTATGGGAGAGACCTCGGGGACTGCCTCGGACTATCTTTGCTCGAACTACATTTGGATGCGACACTAGCGGTAATCTTACAGTTATATATTTTGTTAGCAGTGCATTGCTTTTGTACCATTTCATCTCATCTCTATTTGCATATGTATCAGATCGCAAATAAAACTAGATGGCTCCGTGGGATGAGAGAGTTATGGGGCGGGGCTAAACATTCAAACCTTGCAGAAACAGGTATAGCTCCTTTAAGATTAAGTTAAAGAAACTTGAAGTGGAACCATTTTCATAACACATTAACTCTGTGGACCCATTTATAAAATTCACTTAGGATGAGTGCTAAGGTAAGTGAACTCGCCTTTCTAGATTGTAAGGTCATAATATGGTGTTACGGCCGGCTCAGGGCCACAACAAATAGGGAGTCGAAACGGGGGTAAAAAGTGCAAAAAGTATATTTAATAATAACAAAAGGCGAGTATGACATTAACAAAAAACAAGGTATGAGGTGTGAGCATGTTGTAATCAGTAGTGTAGTGCAGGTGTGTGAGTGCAATGAAAGCCGGTTTGTAGTGTGCAGTGGATGTGGTGCATAAAACAAAAGACAAACTCAAATGTGCAACAAAGGAATGAGCACCAGGGCAGGACCAAACAAGACAGCAGTGCCGGAGAGAGTGAGCAGTGTCACTCCCGTATTCGTCCCGGAAACCGGATTCGTCCGGAAGTTCAGTTTGATCCAATGAGCACAGGCAGCAGTAGATTACGTCACGGAATCTGGACGGAAGCGGAAGTAAATATAAAAAACTACCTATTCATGCCTAAACTTAACCAGCCATTCCCATAAAATAACCCCAACCCAGCCTCAACCCTAAACTTAACCATCTTAATCAGACGCCTAAACTTAACCAGTCACCACTTAAGGACATATTAAACTTTTTGACATGCGCAAACTGAACTTCCGGACGAATCCGGTTTCCGGGACGAATCCGGGAGTGACAAGCAGCTCTCAGCTCCCAGCTGAAGAAGGAGGCGTGGCATGGTGCAGGGGTGTACCTGCACAGAGGAGGAGGCGGCAGAGAAGGCAGGCCAACACAGACAGCACCCTCTCCTGGACACTAAGGGCCTGGCCCGAAACAATGGGAGAAAGGACAATTACAGACAGAGGTCTTCAGAAAGTCCACTCACACTGACAAGTACTTGGCCTTTTATTCAAATCTGTTGTACATGGCTACAACACAAACTCGGGGGCCTTAGAAAGCTCCAAGCCCACCGGGTCCCCACAAGTTTCGGAGGGAAAGGACAGAGAAACCAAACATGTTCAGAGAGCACTTTCCAACAGGTCTTTTACTAAAGCCCAAAGGACAAAAAAGGCCAGAGAAACAGTCCAACAAACAGAAGAAAGTAGGAGGAGAGGAGTGTCCTTACCTAATGCGGCTGGTAGAAGAATCTTCAGGCAACACAAAATCCCTGTGTATTTCAAACCTTTCAACACGTTAAGGCAGAAATTGGTGCATCCCAAAGACAAAACACCCAGACACAAACAGAGCAATGTGGTGTATTCAATTAAATGTAGTGAAGAGGAGTGCACTGACCACTATGTTGGCCAAACCAAACAAACTCTACAGAAACGACTTTATCAAAATTGTAGAGAAAACTCTAGTGGGCCACAAACCCCAGTTACCTAATATAACTAAGGTTCTATGAATATGTTGCGAAGCCTAATGGGCTTCGCTATTGCATATCTCTCGGAAGCACCGCTTCCTGCCCTGAGAAGATCAAACGATCCACCCTCCAATCACCTTGACGTCCTGGCGTAGGTCAGTCCCCTATAAATAGGGCCATGCACCACAGCTCTTCTCCTTTCGAACTCAGCCAAATAAGAGAGGGCAGGCCTGCTGGGCTCGAAGCTAAAGGGATTTGCCACATATTCATATAATCTTAGTTACATTAGGTAACTGGGGTTTCTATTTCATATGTTGCTTCAGCCCTTTAGGCTTTGCTATTGCATAACATAGCAAAGCCCAGACCAATGTACTCCCAGCAGGCATGAACTCCGGTGATTGGAGCAAACTCGTGACCCACTGCCTCATACCGCAACCAAGCGGTAGAGACGGAGGTCCTACGAGCCATAGAGAAAGGGATGCAGGGCCACCTCTCTCAAGAGTGCCCGCGCACTCCCCAAATCTGCAAAGCAGGAAAGATAATTTAGAACCAACCTGGGCAGGCAGCCTCTCCCAAGAGCGCCTGTTCCCCAGGAAATGGATTACTTTTTGGTTTTTGGGTTTTGGGGGGGTTTGGTGCACAAGTGACTTTGGACTGCTTTGCTGTAACATTTGGACTTTAAGGACATGAACTCAGTAAGTTTCTGAAGTGAAAGATTATGGACTCATTATGTCTCTTGATTTTGGGTTTTGTTATGGTAATTATTGTGCAATAATTAATGGGCTGGTGTGTGAGAGCCATAATGTGTGGGGTTGCTATGGTAACGTCAGGGGAGGTGCGTGAGTCACTTGATCTCTGGGGATATGCCCGGTAACTTTAAATATGGCAGACGCCGGTGTTCAGGTGAGAAGTCGTAGGGATCTGGGTAGCCGTATTTCTTTGTTGACCGTTTGAAAGTAAAGCAGAAGGGTCTAGGCCGCCTCTCCCAAGAGCACCAAACCCCCAGTCAACCCATCCTCACTGCAGAGGTGTCCAGGCCGCATCTCCCAAGAGCGCCCTCCTCCTGCAGACCGGTCCCCACCGAGGTCTGTCAAAGGAGAAACTAGGGCCGTCCTGCACTCAAAACTGAATGAACCACAGAGTCCGAGGCAACATCCGGTAGGTAAAACTGCACAAAGGTCAAGGAGGAGGACCAAGACGCCGCTCTGCAGATCTCCTCCACCGAAGTGCCACGGAACAATGCCATCGAAGCGACAACCCCGTGAGTGGAGTGAGCCCTCAACTGGGCCGGAGGCGGCAAGCCCTAAGCTTCATACGCCAAACAGATAGCGAGGCAAAGCCAGCGCTGTGTGGAGACAAAGCAGCAACCTGACTCATGTTGCCAAACCCCACAATCAGAATCAGAATCAGATCAGAATCATTTTTATTGCCACGTAAGTAACAGGAGGTCACAGACTTGGAAATTGCTTTGGCTCAGTGCAACAGTCAAAAAGAGATAATAAAAATAAGAATAGAAAACACTTCTAAAGAATAAATTTAAATTTAAAATAGAGTTACAGTTACTATTTACAATATACAAGTGCACATGGTGCACACAATGTAAGGTGACAGCAGTACAGTGAAGTAAAGTGACGTATGATGGGCAGTAAAGTGACTTTATAAAGGGCGGGGGGACAGGTTACGAAGTGTTCAAGAGTCCAACAGCAGAGGGGAAGAAACTGTTCTTGTGGCGGGAAGTTCTAGTCCTGATGGACCGCAGCCTCCTGCCTGAGGGGAGTGGTTGGAATAGTCCATGTGCAGGGTGAGAGGGGTCGGCTGTGATACGACCAGCCCGGCCTCGAGCTCGGGCGACGTACAGGTCCTGCAGCGATGGAAGGCTGCGGCCGATCACTTCCTCTGCAGAGCACACAATGCGCTGTAGTCTCTGTTTGTCCCTGACTGTGGCTCCAGCGAACCACACGGTGATGGAGGAGGTGAGGATGGACTCGATGATGGCCGTGTAGAACTGCACCAACATCTGTGCAGGCAGCTTGGCTTTCCTGAGCTGCCGCAGGAAGTACATCCTCTGCTGGGCCTTCTTGATGAGGGAGCTGATGGTCGGCTCCCACTTGAGGTCCTGGGTGATGGTGGTGCCCAGGAAACGGAAGGACTCCACAGAGGTGATGGGGGAGTCCATCACGGAGGGTGAGGGCGGGGGGACTTCTTCCTGAAGTCCACAATCATCTCCACTGTCTTCTGGGCGTTCAGCTCCAGGTTGTTACCACTGCACCAGGACACCAGCCGGTCCACCTCCCTCCTGTAGGCGGACTCATCGTTGTTGGAGATG